ACTTGCCAGTCTAGATGCAGCCGGCATGACAGGAACATATTGTTCTATTTTCTTTCAAATGCCCTATTTCCATAAATAACTTTCAAAAGAAGAATAAGAGAATCGCATGCTAGAAAACTTATCTGGAGTTTTTTGTTGAAACCTGACTGGTTTGAGTGAATTGGTTTATGGAGTAAAGCTTGTTTACTGTTCATTTGTGTAGCTCTTGGCAAAAAACCTTCTAGAGCTCTGTATTGCTGAGAAATGGTAGCCTGCAATGTGCGGCTTTCAAGATCCCCACCCTCTAAGACAGAATGATTTGGCAGAGGTTCTGGTGAGCAGACTGTTAATATTGCACAAAGGTTTAGACTAAAGGGAACTGAAAGCTTTGTAGAAGGCAGCTGTGTGCTCATCTGGATGTAACCACTTGAATAATGGCCAGTACTTGGATTGCATTCCATGGTCACTTTAGCAGGAGATTTTTATTTTATTTTATTTTACTTTTTTTTTTGCCTTGAGAGAAAGTGCCTAACTTCAGCAAGTTACTATAATGGATTAATCTCACTATAATTTCACTAATAGGCTATTGATTCTTTTTAACATAAAAACCTTTGCTAGAGAGTTACACCCATCTCCTTTAACATGAATTATGCGCATGCAGTCAAAATGCTACTTAAGGGTTGATCCACTCTGTTAAATCCTAAATCTAAATTATTATCAAAATTGATTTCAGTGAGAGTTCTGAATGTGCTGTTTCCCTCACTGATCAAGAAATCTTCAGTGTGAGATATCAATGCAATGGATGTAGGAAATAGGCATTTGGTTTTTTATTAAAAGGCACAAGAACAAACTATCCCACTGCATAGGAAAAATTGGAAGAATGGCAAAGGACCAGGAGACTGTCAATGATCTGAAACTTAAAAAAAAATCCTACAAAAAGTGGAAAGTAGGTTAAATTACGATGGATGAATATAAAGAAAATAACAAGCATGTAAGAGACAACATTTAGAAAGGCCAAGGTACAAAATGAGATCAAACTACTTAAAGACATAAAATATAACATAATATTTCACAAGAAGCAAGAGGAAGAACAAGGATGTGATAGGACTGTTACTCAATGGGGATGGATGCAGAAGTGCTTAGTGACTTTTTTTGGTGAAAAACAAAAACGTTTAGTAGCAATTGGGCATCTAAATTAATGAAAACCAGAGAAAATAATGTAGGATAAGAGACTAAAATGGGAAAAGAACAAATTAAAAATGACTTAAAGAAATTTGATAGCTTCAACCAGTGGAACTCCTTGCCAGAGGATGTTGTGAAGACCAGGACTTTAATAGGGTTCAAAAAAGAATTGGAAAAATCCGTGGGGCACCCAGCATAGGATACTGGGCTAGATGGAGCTTTGGTCTGACCCAGAATGGCCATTCTTATGTTAAGTTACTGGGTCCTGATGAACTACATCCTTGAATACTCAAGGACCAAACTGAAGGGAGATCTGACCCATTAGTGATTATCTTTGAAAAGTTATGCGAGTAGTCAGTCTAAGTTCAGTTCCTAGAAAGATAATGGGGCAAATAATTAAGGAATCAATTTGCAGACACCAAGATCCTTGAAGATAAGGTGATAAATAACATGAGCATAGATTTATCAAGGATCAGCTAGGTCAAACCAACCTAACAGCTTTCTCTGTGGATGGGGAAAGCAGTAGATGTGGTATATCTTGACATTAGTAAGGTTTTTGATTACTGTGTCACATGGCCCTCTCATAAACAAACTAAAGAAATACAACCTAGATGGAGCTACTATAAGATGGGTGAATAGCTGTTTGGAATACCATTCAGAGAATAGTTATTAGTGGATCACAGTCAAGTTGGAAGGATATAATGAGTGGGGTCCTCCAGGGATCAATTTTGGATCTGGTTCTATTCAATATATTCATCACTGATTAGGGTAATGGAATAGAATACATTTTTATAAAGTTTGCAGATGGCATCAAGATGGGAGGAGTTACAAGTGCTTTAGGAATAGGATTAAAATTAAACATGATCTGGATAAATGGTCTGAAATAATTAGCATAAAGTTCAATGAGGATGAAGGCAAAGTATTCAACTTAGGAAAGAAAAATCAGTTGCACACATACAAAATGGGAAATGATTGCCTAGGAAGGAGAATTATGGAAAAGGATCTGAGAGTCATAGTGGATCACAAGCTATATGTAAGTCAGCAGTGCAAAACT